TAAATAAATAAAAGAAAAGAAGAAAGAAAAAAAAAAGAATGAAAAAAAAAAGAATGAAGGAGAGGAAGAAAGAGAAAGAGGAAGAGGGAGAGAGAATGGGGGTGTTGCCTTATTGCCCGGGCTTGAATGCAGTCTAAAAATGGGTATACCTATAATTGTGCTTAATAACAGAGACATGAAAAAAAAAAATGAGGGAAGAAAATAACAAACAAGCAGCTAACCAATATTTCATTTAAACCTGTAAATAGATGTGATGTGGTACTGATAAGAGTGTATATTTTGTGTATTTAAAGTGGAGAGTTCTATAAATGTTAATTAAGTTTACTTGTTCCGGATCTGAGTTCAAATCCTGGATATCGTTGTTAATTTTCTGTCTCATTGATCTGTCTAATATTGATGTTTGTCTCCCACTATTATTGTGTGGGAGTCTAAGTCTCTATAAGTCTTATATATCTGGGTATTCTTGTATTGGGTATGTATATATTTAGGATCTTTAGCTCTTCTTGTTGCATTGATCCTTTTATCATTATGTAATATCCTTCTTTGCTTCTTTTGATCTTTGTTGCTTTAAAGCAACTCCTGCTTTTTATTTATTTATTTATTTTTGCTCTCCAAAATTTATTTATTTATTTATTTTTGACAGAGTCTTGCTCTATTGCCGAGGCTGGAGTGTGATCTTGGCTCACTGCAACCTCCACCTTCTGGGTTCAAGCGATTCTACATAAGCGATTCTCATGCCTCAGCCTCCCAAGTAGCTGAGGTTACAGGCACGTGCCGCCACATCCTGCTGACTTTCATATTTTTAGTAGAGATAGAGTTTCACCATGTTGGCTAGGCTGGTCTCTAACTCCTGACCTCAAGTGGTCTACCCACCTCAGCCTTACAAAGTGCTAGGATTACAGGTGTGAGCCACTGTGCCTGGCATGTTGAGGTATTTAGATCAGGATAGTAAACAGAAGATTTGCTGCCAGAGTTAATGGTGACCAGTGGGACATACAATTGAACCTTTACAGAGAATATAGAGACTATGAGGTAACTACTGTGGAATCCATTAGTTATAAGGAACCAGAGGGGCAGAGCTTGAAATAATTGGGAAGTTTAACATATTATTAAACCCAAAATGGTCAGCAAGACTGATAGGTGCTTCTCAGCTATCTGAGATTTTTTTTTTTGCAAAAGTACTTTTTTAGCCAGCATGACTTATCTCTTAGATGAGAGAAAAGAATAAAAAAGACAAAGTGTATAGCTACTCTTTTAAATATAGAGTTGGAAGCATCGTTTTGGAAGAAGGTGTCTCACATGAGCAAATTTTCTAGACAAGTGAAATTTGTCTCTTTAAGTATCAAAACTTGCTTTTATAATTTCTTGAGTTTTCTCTAAAATTGAACAATGCATTTATGTCATGTTTATTGAGTACATCCCATGTGCCAGAAACTCTATCAGGGACTTTACATTATCTCGATTTTTACATGTAAAATGCATTGTGTTCTGGCTTTTAAACAGGATACAATGATTCTAATTTAATCTTTTCTTGGAAGACTAATTGTTAAGCCTTCACACAACTCTGTGCTTGGATTTTGTGACTTTTACATTTTGATCATATTATTCCCTAGAAGTTCTTGACTTTTTCCGGGTAGTTAAGGAAAGGGAAACTGATTGTTAATTAATTACTTATTACATATTCTAGGTACTTTCACATACATTTCATCTCAATCTAACAGAAACATGTAAAATAATTATTATTATACCCATTTTATAGATGAAACAACCGAACCACAGAGAGGTTGAGTATATTGCAATGGAGTCACACTGCTGAGTCAGGGGAGTAACTAAGAGATTGGAGTATGAGCCCATCTGACTCTAGGTCCAGTGTTCTTTCTGTGCTGACATCACTGAAGAAATAGACATAGTTAAAAGTAGGTTCGTAGATGATGACCCTTCCTCATACTGTCTCTCTCCTTTCTAATTCTTTCCCATTACTCTAAAAGCAGAGTTTTCATCTCTAATTAATTTAACTATTCTTCACCTGTGCTAGACGTTAGAAAAAGGATGGAGCTTCCAAACCTGTTGGGTGAGAAGCTGGCCCATGAAATGACCCAGAATTTTCCCAAAGTAAATGGAATCTCTTTAACTTTGTTAGAGTTAATTTATAGTCACAAGTAATTTTGTATGCCTAATACCAGCAATAGACTAAGGAATTTATCAGAAGTATTAAAGTAAATGAGCTCTTTTTTTCATAGCAAGTCTTCAAAGTTCAGTGAGGGTAAATACACCCTCCCATAAAAGCAATGAAAAGCGCTGGCAAAGATAGCAAAAATCAACTTTTTCAGAACCCCTTAAATTAGCCAAAGGCTTCCAACAGTTTGAGAAGTGTTTATTCAAGAAAATCTGCTGAATCTTATTAGGAACAGCAGGGTTTGTGGGATTGTAACTTGAACTACTCCCATTTCCTCTCCTCAGCTCTGCAGTAGCCTTGAAACCCAGCGGTCTTTACAAACACGGTACTTGTAAAAAACAACAGCCTTTACCACTGGATAGGATAGGCCTGGATGGAAGATCCTTAAGAAGTTCCATTCCCAGAGCATTGTCCCTATTTGACTTTTCTCACAGCTCCTTGTAAAAGTCTCATTTACCGGGCATGGTTGTTATTTGACCTACCTTGGTGCTTAGAGCTTTCTCTGTGGGAACAGTCCTATCTTCAGGGTATTTGTCAAAAACAGTCAGTGACAATCATTTAACATTGTAGCTTCTGAGGGGTCAATATCAGTTGTGCAGATAAAAACATGGCTAAAAACTTAAGGGTAAGATATGAGGAACAAGATGTCCATAAGAGACTTTAAAAAACTCTAACATATTCCTAGGGGATTAAAAGGCTGTACACATATGCAGGGCTATATGCATGCTCAGACGACCTGAGAGGGCCTCAATGTCTTGCCTCTGACTGACCATGAGGTCTTGAGAAAGCAGTAAATACAAGCTAAGGCAGAAGATTAAAGTGCCCAAGTGTTAAAGGCATGCCTCAACATACATACAAGGCACCCCTCAGCAAAGACGGGATCACTCACTTGTTCACAGCATCAGCTGGCTAACTAAACAGAGACATCAGTGGCTGTACACTTCAAGAAATACAGACTTTACGGAATTAGTCCAGAAAAGTCACTGAACAAACAAACAGCAACAACAGCAGTGACTATAAAAAACAGCAACAGCAAATCCTGGGGAGTTGGGAGAGGAGAGTCTGATTTTCAGAATTGCCACATTTATTATTATCTGAAGTGCTCAGTTTTTTTTAACGAAAAGTATGAGACATACTAACACAAACAAGAAAGTGTGACCCATACACAAAAGGGAAAGTGGTCAATGTCTCTGAGGTGCTGAGATGTTGGATTTATTCTACAAAGATTTTATTCAGCTGCTATCAACATAGTCAAAGAACTAAAGAAAACCATGTCTAAAGAAAGAAAGTATGACAATGAAGTTTTACCAAATAGAGAATATCAATAGAGAGAGAAATTGTAAAAGAATCTAAATTCTGGATTTGAAGAGGGCACTAACAAATGAAAAATTTACTAGTTAGTTCAGTAGCAGTTTTGAGCTGGCAGAGGAAAGAATTAGAAAACTTGAAGATAGGCCAATTGAGATTATCCAGGGTGAGGAACAGAAAGAAAAAGAATAAAGAAAACTGAACCTGAACATAGTCTCAGAGGCCTATAGGACACCATCAAGCCTACTATTATATGCATTATGGGAATCCCAGATGAGAAGAGAAGGGTGGGAGAGGAATAGTTGAAGAAATAATAGCTAAATACTTCCTAAATTTTATTTAAAAAATATTTGTCTGGACAACTAATGAATGTAGCAAACTCTAAACAGGATAAACTCAAGGAGATCCATACCTACATGTGTCATAATCAAACTGTGAAAAGACAAAGAGAATCTTTAAAGCAGTAAGAGAAAAATGACTCATCAAATAAAAGGGATCCTCAATAAAATTAACAGCTGACTTCTCATTAGAAGCCATGGTGGCTGGAAGTGGGTGGGATGACATATTTAAGGTACTGAAATAAAGAGATTCTCAACAAAGAATTCTCTGTCAAAATTATCTTTCAAAAATTGAGGAAGAAACCAAGACATTCTCAGATAAAGGAAAACAGAATGTGTCACTAGCAGACCTGTGCCACAAAAATTATGAAGGGAGTCCTTCAGATTAAAAGGAAAAGATACTAGATGATAACTTGAATCTATATGAAGAATAAAGAACACTAGTAAAGATAAATACCGAAATAGATATAAAAGCACAAATATATTTTTGTAACTCTTCTGTCTAATAGATAACTACATAAAGCAATCATGATAAACTGCGTTAATGGGTTTATAATGTATAAAGATGCACTTTGTATGACAGTAGCACAAAGGACAGGCGAAGAAAAGGAATATGTGCAGAAAACTTACTAAATACTCTTGAAACCAAGCTAATATTAATCTGAACTACATTGTGAGTTAAGATACTGAATGTAATTCCCAGAATAACCACCAAGAAAATAACTCCTTTAAATAAAAGAAACAAGATATCAAAAATGGTACCCTAGAAAATGTCTATTTAACTCAAACTAAGGCAGTAATATTCACTGTTTATTTTCAGAATATTTAAAAGATGCTTCAAAGAAGATGAAAAGTGGGCTTATGTTTGTAAAACTGGTTAACCCGTGTTCAGGTAAGTTCTTGTCTCATAACTTGAATGTTCTTAAATGTTGTGACTAATAAGTGTACACACTTATATGTCTTTGTATCATTGCTCTTTCTGAATAGCTTATAAAGTTAAGCTAAGCTCTGTGAGGAGAAGAAAGCAAGCTGATGACTTTACTAGTCTTTCCAGATAATTCATTTGACCTAAACATGAAAAAAAAATTTTTCTTATAATTTTAATTCACAGAACTGTTCAGCCATCAGAAATACTGGCAAAATTAAAAAGTAGCATGTTTGAGTTCTCCCTGAAAACAGATGAATTTTCTTTGGCTTTCTTAAGCCAACTTTTTTTAGTGTAGTTATTCAACATTAGCCTCCATTTATATTCATTTTATCTTATACAGTAAAATAAACAGAAAAAAAAAGCAAAAACAGAAGGCTTTCACTTGACATGCCAAGATTTTGATTCGTTTCAGTTTTAGCTATACTTTCCTTTTTTGTCCTGACCAAAATAGTACATTATTTTTTCTGTCAGTGAATTTTTTTTTAAATTATAAGCATTGTATATTGAAGATATTCATATTTTATTGAAAAACAATTTGATTTTAACTTTATATTCAGTGCATTTTCAGTTTTGTCTTCACATTTTTTGGGCAAAAATATTAAAATATATTCTAAGTATGGAGTGATATGGTTGATAGTGTTTACCTGTCTGTGTAACTGTTTTTCCATTAACTTGCAAAGTTTCATGTAGACACTTGATACATGGCATATTAGAGGTTTCTTCTGGTGACAGTAATACTGAATAGTAAAAGTAAGGGAGGGCCAATGCATAATGCCTTGTTGTTGAGACATGGAAATAAAAGCAACAAGAGAAGAAACAAATCCCTGACTTGAGCAGTGTTCTTTTCTTCAAAATGAAATTGACTGTAATGATCAGCTATGTTTAGAATTCTTATTTATATGTCAGACTAAGTTGAGGTGAGAAATATTTCTTCAAGAGAAGTTTTAGGTAGCAGTAAAGGTTCTAAAGTATTTAACAAAAGTACAGGTACAGAAGAAAGCCAGCCCTCTTCTAAAATTTCTGTTTTATCCAAATGCTCATAGACAACAGAAAAACAAATGTTTTTATTTGCTTCATTGGCAGTAGAAGAGTAAAGGCTAACATTTGCTGAGTTCTTACCATGTGCCAAGTATTGGTTTAGGAAATTTTACATGTGTTCTTTCTGTAATCCTTAAGAAAACTCTATGAGGAGGTTCAGTATTGTCCCCATTTTACAGACGTGGAAACAGAGGCACAGGAATGTTTATGAACTTCCCCAAGGACACGTGCCCTGCATATAGTGGAGATAGTTAACTCAGCATCCTTCTCTCCAGAGATTGTGCTATGGTTAGAAAAAATTTTTTTTTATTAGTTGAAGGGATAAAACATGCAGATGTGCACAGGCTTAACTCCCTTCTGCCTCCTTCCTTTTTTGGGAGGAGGGGGTTAAGAAAGAAAAGGAAAAATTCATCCGGTTGAGTGACGCTTTACTTACTCCCTATGGCTTCAAGCATGTCTGTCTTTCTCATTTAGGGTTGGCCTGTGGGTCCATGGGCTTGGTTTCCACCTTAGACCTTGTGTGGGGAGAGCCACACGCTACCCAGAGGCAGGAACCCACGTGCCAGCTCATGTCATGTGGCTGAACCATTGTGTTTTGATAGTTTGAGAATGGGTTTTCCCTCTTGATCTGATGGAGGATTTAAGGACAGGCTTTGTAGCAGTTAAGATAAATGACTTGCACTTTCTAATTTTTTGGTTTAAGTTCAGTGAGGATTATGGTGCTGGAAAATTACCATCTATGTATAATAGCTAAAGGTTTCCTTGGAATCAGTTTGTGTAGTATAGGCCTGTGTATGTTTATGTTCATATTATGAACATTTCTTAGAACTATTGGATAGTCTTTTGGGGGGGTGTGTGTGTGTGTTTGTAAACTTACAAATAAAAGACAGATTTGTCTTAACAGGAGAAGGAGCCATTTACTTGTTCAATATGTGTCTACAGCAGCTGTTTGAAGTAAAACTTTTCAAGGAAAAACACCATTCTTGGTTTATAAATCAATCAGTTCAATCAGGTATGTGACTACTGCAAACATTTCCAATAACTAAATACATACTCCAGCTTTTCCATTCTTCACACGTAGGGTTGTGGATCTGTCAGGGATTTGGAGTCTAGTCACTGGTTTAGCCTTCCTTGGCATCAGAACAGGTTTAATCAGGAGAACAGAAAGATCATTTGAGCACTGAAGTTAGGTCACCTGTGTGTCTTAGTAGGAAATTTTAAAGTAGCAACTCTGCTTTGTCTCCTAAAACAACGACACATCCTGAGTTAGAAGTTAGATTTGTACATGGGGTGCATATTGTATTGATTGGAAACTCTTTTGAGGATCTTTGTGTTTTTAACACGTTATTTCCTTGAAACTGGATACTGATATAGCTTCTCACATAGGCTAGAACATAACAAAGTTTCTTTAAAGTTCCACCAAAGTTTCTTGTGGTGTTCCCTTAATTCGGGGGCAGTTTTGACTAGGGGGAGAGTAGGCCAACAGAACTGTTCTGCCTCATGTTCTGGGCATTGCTGGGGTTGGGGGCAGTCAGTGGGTATTCAAAGCATCCTGCATCCCCCTGCCCACAGACCACAGAAAGGACTGTGTATGGAGAGAATGGCACTGCTTTCCCGTGGCTTTGTCCTCAAAAGCACAGGAAATTATGTTTTACTGCAACGTTATAGATAGACTGACGGGTTTTCTAACATTGCCATGTTCTCATTCTGTCTGTGCTTCCTCCTAACCCCTCTTTTGTTAGGGGGTTGGAAGGCTGTGTTAAAAGTGATTTCTAGAGAAGAAATGGAAAGTTAAAGATCGATTTCAGGGTCTTGGCTTTCCTCTCCACACAGGGATTTGAAGCTTTTTGGAGTAAAATCTTTTAGAGCACATTCTGCCTTTGGAGAGAATCACACAGACTCCCTGGCCTGTATAAGAAGAGATTTGAATTTGGAATTTCACATGTATTTTTCAACACATGTTTTTCACTTTGAGATTAAGGTGAAATAACCATGTTGTGTTTCCAAGGTGTTTAATTCCTTTCGTCCTTTTTGTAATCTGTAGGAGGTCTTCTTCACTTTGCCACACCCATGGACCCTCTATTTCTGCTTCTCCACTACCTTATAAAGGCTGATAAGGAGGTGAGTTTCCAGTTTGGGGCATCCATACTGAGGAAACAGAATCAACTGTTTTTGCTTGATCTCCTCTCTCTTCTTTTAATGATCCAAAGGTGGATCCTACCTTCAGATCTAATGCCGTGACTGCAGAAAACATGAGTCATGTGGGCCAGTGCGGGACAGAGCCCTGCTGTGCGGGACAGAGCCCTGCTCTGCAGGACAGAGAAGCAGCACCTTACCTTTGATCCAGTCTGACCCTGGCTTGCTTGTGACCTCTGTCTTGCTTGACTCACTGTGCTATGCACCTTACTGCTTGACAAAGCCTAACAACTAACACTCCTTTATCATTAAGTATTCCTTACGCTTGAAATACAAAACAGGTATTTAAAAATTGATTACATGTCTTAGGAGAGGAAAAATTTATCTTTTTTAGTGAGAGACTGTGGAGTAGGTAAACTGAGGCAGGTCCAGTAGAAGCTCATTAATGGGGATGTGCTAGCTGAGACTTAAGAAATCCCAGATGGATAAAATTTACCTTTGGAACAGAAATAAAGACAGAGCTCACTAATAGTGATCGTTTTAACCAGAAGTTCTGTAATATTTTGGTCTCAGGATACATTTACACTTAAAATTATTAAGAGTTCCAGAGAGCTTGTGTTTCTGTGGGTTCTAGCAATACTCACTGTTAGAAATTAAAACTGAGAAAGTTAAAAATAATAAGGCTACTACATGTTAACATAAATAACATATTTTTATTGAAACAACCAAATTTAATGAGGCATGTGGCATTGTTTTACATTTTTGCAAATCTCTTTAGTGTTTGGCTTAAATAGAAGACAACTGGATTCTTATATCTAAGTCTGTTTCCATATGTTATTTTGGTGGGATTATATGAAGAATATGTGGCCTCATACATATTTGTAGTTAGAAAAGGAACATATAATGTTATAGCCTGTTTAGATTATTGTGGATATTCTTCTTTAATACTACCTAAAAAATCAATAAGTTGTATTTTTTTAAAGCTTAGTTGCAATATGGAATCTGAAACTTTATCAGTTAACTTTCTATGCTCTGTTACATTAAAACCCATTGGTCTATCTTGTACTTAAAATGAATCTTTTTACTCACATATAATTTTGTAACATTATGCTTTGGTCATTTGGAAAATATTGGTTTGCTGAGTTACGCATATCTTCCAAATGTTGACACATATCATTTTACACACACACACACACACACACACACACACACACACACACACACACCCTTTTGTTAATATTACCACTGATGTCATCAGAAAGCTCTTTAGGTATTGAGAAGCTGTCATAGTCACAGATATTTTCTACAATTCTAATTTTTGCTTGAAAGCTCAAATTTTATTATTGGCTGCAAGTACTGTCAGTCTTTCCTTTGAAATGACAGGCTCCCATCATTCACATTCTGACTAATACTGGGGTCTGAATCACCACAATTCAGAGTGGATTTTTCAAATAAAAATGGTATCCATGAAAAAGCAGCTGGTTCTGCTTGCAACTCAGCTAGCCCCAGGACAACATGCTCTTCCTGGTAATCAGCTTACCTTTGGTTCAGCAGCCAAAGGCCTTTAGCCATACGTCATTTTCATCACGGAGAATTTACAAGACTTGTGTTCAAGGAGCAAGATTTAAGTAAAATTAATTGCTTTTACTACTTGCTCAAGGATATTCTTAAGTGAAACTAGCATTTTTTAAACTGCATATAAATGGCGATAAGGATCCAAGTGATGACTAGGACAGTCTGGTGACACCACCAGACTCATGCTAAGGAGCCAGCAGTTTTCCCCACCATTGCATTTGAATCATCAGTGCAGATATCCACACAGTGAAAATGCAGATAACGTCTTAGCAGTTATTAGGAAAATAGCTTTGAGCTTGGGTACCTCATGACCTAGGGGTCCATCAACCATAGTTGGAAAATCTTTTAATTCACAACTTACAGTAATAAGTGTTACTCAGACTGCTTAGAAGAATATGGTTTTTTGGACTCTCAAGTTTGGATAAAGTTTGAACACTTATAAATTTCTCGTACTTAACCCTTAGACCAAATTCCTGAAACTTCCATTTGGTAGGGAAGTTAATTTAAGTTGCAGAATAAATGCTGAAAGTCATAAAGCATCAATGCATGCTTTGTCCTGATGCAGCTTAGCCTCTTTCAGTCTCCTCCTTCCCTGCCCTCTGCCTTTCACTGTGGATTAATGAAGTTTTATCTCTTTGTTTAATCGTGTGTACCTTATCTGGAAGCTATTGTGATGGCCAGTATAACAAGAGCACACAAGCTGTGAGGCTGGTAAGCCACGTGTCTTTAAAGAACAGAAATGGTCCTATTCTTCAGGAGAAAGGCCCTGGGGAATATTCAGGGAAGAATTCGAAAACCTCCTTGGCTCACCTATGTGATGTTTTCTAGGATAAATTAATGCGGAGAAGGATACCAGCCATCCTCAGCACATGCATTGATGTGCATTTAAGACTCCCCCACCTCTTTTTGATAGCATTTTTTCCACCTCCCATTAAGACCGTGACTCTGGGGCATTAACCCTATCCTGGCGCTCTGGGTGCCTCCAGGGTGCTATGGCGAGCTCACGTTGACAGATGCAGAATGAAGCAGAAATGCTGTTCAGGGTGGCCGTTGGCTTTCATTTTACACCATCATGCTTCCCAAACACATCTTCCCAAGTGCCAAAAATGCCCTTCAAAGTACCACTTGAGATGTTTAGCTATTTCCTTCTCTACATTTTAGACACGTTCACTTCCTATTTAGTTAAAAATTATTGGTACACACTTTTGACATATGACCTGTTCTTTTAAAATTTATTTTAACATCAGTAAAAATAACTCTTTTTTTTCTAGATATTCCACTGCTACTAGCTTTATATTAAAGGCAGGTTGCTTATTGCATTTCCTGCTATGTATGTATAGTAAATAAAAATAAGAATGAAGCACTAGTTATGAAATTATTTTATGTCATGACTGTGTGGTAGTCCATTACATATAAAAATTGTTTTAAAGCAGTCAAATATTTAACATATTGATTGATCATGGAAGAGTATAGATTTAAGGTAGAAAATCTAAAGACAATAAGACTTGGGAAAAATCTGGGCATTATTCTTACTATTTGAAGGAATAAGAACATTTAAATTGAGACATTTCACGGCACTAGTTAACCTAAGAGAAAGTACGGCAAGCTATCCACATGTGCTCCCAAATGATTGAGAAGATTTTACCCTTAAAACCCAAGAAAGCTGCATTTGCAGAAATTGATCAAATGCCATTGTTGTGTCTTCAGTATCCGAGGGTAGAGCGAGCTGGAAGTGGGCATGGGCAAGGCCATACATCTGGTACAGTCTGGTGTCCCCAAATCAGGGGGCTAATGCCTTAATTTAGACAAACTTCACTTCTACTTGCTACTAGTACAGTTAAGAAAAACTAGACCTAATTCTGAAGACTGATGTTCTGAAGCCATATGGTCTGCACTTCTGGCCCACTGGCAACCAGACCATATAAACTTCTCTGGCAGCTGCCCAGGACTTCTCCCTCTGGCTGTCTTTTCTTTTATTCTGGTCTAAGTTTGGAAGCATAGTCAGGCAGCTCTGACAGGGATAGATTCACTTTTGGTATTTTTCTCTTTGTGGTGGGTGCTTCTTTCATCAACCCTAGAGTGAACATGGAGAGGCAGATGTATATCTGTGCCTAGTCTGGACTTGTTCCAGTGTGATAGTCAGGACTGTTGCTCTGTGACCACAGCTGGTTCTTCAAATTGAATGGGTTGGACTAGCCCCATGCAGTCTCCACCATCTTTGCAAGCTTCTGTGGCTTTTCAGTGCTTTTGGATTGTTTTGCTCCCTGTTTCATTTGGGGACTGTACACCCGAAGTAGATGGTGTGCTGCCTGGGACCCCAGTGCTCACAGGAGCATCCTAAAGGGAGCCTGGGTCCCTCCTAGAGTCTGTCCCAGTGTCGGGATTCCTTAGATGGAATAGGCAGCTCTGCACTAAGTTTAAAAGCCCAGCCATGAGGTAACGTATCTTTTTCTCTTTTGTTTCTGTGTGTCTTTGTTGAATGAAATGCTTGCTTTCCAACTAACTAAAGTGTTTTTTCAGGGGAAGTTTCAGCCCCTTGATCAAGTTGTGGTAGATAACGTGTTTCCGAATTGCATCTTGTTGCTGAAACTTCCTGGACTTGAGAAGTTACTTCACCATGTGACAGAGGAAAAAGGTATGGTATAACTTAAAGGCTTTTACGGCTGGTAGAAAGGATAGACCTTGCCTAAGAATGTGGCTGCTTACAGGCCCACTGAATGTAAGGCTTATTCTGTGTCGGCCATAAGGAAACCTGTCATTCAGATTTGCCAACACTGCCAGCACTGTTCCTCTATTGCTTTGGAGCATTTAGTCTTTGGAACTACAACCATGGCAGTCTGTGCCTGTGTCCCACAGGACAGGAATCACAAGGTGTGGTTTCACTCTCGCTTCTTCTTTGAACTAGTCCTGTGACATCAGGCAAGTCGCTCATCTGACTTCTGTTTCAGATTTCTCATTGTAAAATTACGTAAAACCTGTACCTTAATAGATGGAAGTATTTATTGAGCACCTACCAAAAAGAGTATGTTGCACATTAGTGCTAAGCTCTAGATACTTATAAGTAAGACATTGTCCTTTTCTTCACTTTGTGCCCAGGCTGATGGGGTCAGTGACAAGCTGAGCAATGACCACACTTAATAATTTTAAGTGTAAATGTATCCTGAGACCAAAATATTACAGAACTTCTGGTTAAAATGATCACTATTAGTGAGCTCTGTCTTTATTTCTGTTCCAAAGGTAAATTTTATCCATCTGGGATTTCTTAAGTCTCAGCTAGCACATCCCCATTAATGAGCTTCTACTGGACCTGCCTCAGTTTACCTACTCCACAGTCTCTCACTAAAAATGATAAATTTTTCCTCTCCTAAGACATGTAATCAATTTTTAAATACCTGTTTTGTATTTCAAATGTAAGGAATACTTAATGATAAAGGAGTGTTAGTTGTTAGGCTTTGTCAAGCAGTAAGGTGCACAGCACAGTGAGTCAGGCAAGACAGAGGTCACAAGCAAGCCAGGGTCAGACTGGATCAAAGGTAAGGTGCTGCCTCTCTGTCCTGCACAGCAGGGCTCTGTCCCGCACTGGCCCACATGACTCATGTTTTCTGCAGTCACGGCATTAGATCTGAAGGTAGGGTCCACCTTTGGATCGTTAAAAGAAGAGAGAGGATGGGTGGCGTTTCTAATCTGGTGGGGTTGGGTGGGAAGTGCAGGTGGGTAGCTGTTGTATTGTTTTCCTGGGGGACATGACGTCTTTATGGAGTCCTGAAGGATAGTCAGAGAAGCAGTGTAACAGAGGCTCGGAAGTATGGAAAAGTTTGTCAGGTTCAGGAAGTTCCAAGGAGTTCAGTGTATAGGATGCTCGGGAAGGATTTAGGTTGGTAAGGAATGAGGCAGGAACGCTGGGCATGGGTCCAGGTGATAAAGGGCCCTGTGTGTGTTTGGACTTTGCTTAATGGTAGTGGAGTGTCTGTGAAGTTTTAAGCAGGGCAGTCTGCAGTGTGGAGGGTATATTGGAGAAGTGAGGTCCACCGAGGCTGCTGTAGTGATCCAGACAGGAGGTAATGGTGGCCTGATCTTAGGAGATACAACAAGAAGAAAGTAGCCCTTTAGAGATGGACCCAACTGCTTCTGGTGGTTGGATGGTGGTCAAGGAGGTGGTGGAGACAAGAGTGACTTCCGGGTTTGTGCCTGACCCAGAGGATGTGTAGTTGTGGCATCCTGGACACAGGGAACATGGGCTATAGAAGCAGGATAGGGTTAATGAAGAGATGTGTCATTCATTTGACTTTTTAGAGGGGAAAATAAGGCAGTGTGTGTGTTTTTACAGGTTAGAAATACTATACAAACTGGGCATCAGTGTCTCAAAAAATTATCCAAGTAGTTTCAGGGTTAATATGGAAACAAAGTGTGAGAACCAGAACATCAGGCTGATAAGTTGTGGCTGTTTGGGTTCATAGATGGTTTGGCCACAATGACGGTTCTTCTGGGACCAAGAATGTGGTGAGTCCAGGAAGTGTAAGCTTACGGTGGGAAAGAGGAGAACCTTATTGATCGCATTTTATGTTTAAAGGGTCCAGTAAATTCATACTTGGCCACACTTGGAGCTCCAGTTTGGAACTGAGGGATGTGTGGTGCTGAGGTTTTATCAAAGCAGTTCCATTAAAGACATTCCCTGCTGTTGAGTTTGTCAGGAGACAGCAATCTTTTTATGGGTGACAAATGAAGTAGCGCATAACCATTTTTAAAAGTTAAAGTAATGAAAAATAATTAAGCCATTTTAATTTTTGTCAACTTAACACAAACTGAAAATGCAGTTATCTCATATTAGGGCTATATAAGAAAAATGATCTTAAAGCAAAACCCAGAAATCTGGATTTAGAAACAGTGTTAGTGCCTCAGCATTTGTTTCCTTATAGTCTGCCGCTGAGAGCAAGAGCTTCTCTCTGTCTCATCCCTTCCCTCTTGCACACTGAACCCCTGACCATTTACTGGGTCATTATCTGAACTTGTCTTAGTCTCCTTTGCTTCTCAATATTGCCTAACTTTTGGTAGTTCTGCACTTCCATTTTCAAAATAGCTATGTTATTAGCCTTTATATTTGCCAAATTTCTAAAACTGTAGGCCTCAATTTTTTTCTTTATTTTTAAGTGATGAGCAAAACATAAAATACTTAAATTTCACACAGTAAAAGATGTATTCAATCTCTAGAGGTTTGGCAGTTTCTTTTTATCCAATTCTTCCTTAATAAACTGCAGCCTGTGAATCTCAAAGTAATGGAAGGTTTAAAAACAGAACCAAAAAGATTTTTATTTACTTACTTTATTTTTTTTAAGACAAAGTCTTGCTCTGTCGCCCAGGCTAGAATGCAGTGGTGCAATCATGGCTCACTGCAGCCTTGATCTTTTGGACTCGAGTAATTCTCCTACCCCAGTATCCTAAGTAGCTGAGACCACAGGTGCAAGTTACCACACCTGGCTAATTTTTTCTTTTAGGGACAACAGGGTTTCTCTATGTTATCCAGGCTGGTCGTGAACTCCTGGGCTCAAGGGATCCTCTCACCTTAGCTTCCTAAAGTGCTGAGATTACAGGTGTGAATTACCATGCTCATTCTCAAAAAGATTTTTAAATGGGGGAAAAAATAAATAAGATTCTCAAATGCCTCATCCTCAAAAAGACCTTTTCATCAAAATATTCATAAGCATTTTCATATTACTTGCTTTACCCCTTGACTCAGAACATAAATATGTGAAATATGTTTCTTTATGGAAGACCTGTGTACAGGGACAGTGTACTAAGACAAACATCTTTTTCCATGAAGATCCACAGGGATCAGCATTTGGAAGTTTACCACTGCCTTAGAGCCCAACAAAACAAGTGCAGTTCATGCACTTCTACAGCGGCAGAAATTCTGTGCTTATTGGTTTACATATATTACGTAGTACTTGTAGTAATTTTCTTTCATTGTGTATTAATAACCTGCATTTTCACAAATGAGGAAACCGAGGCTCAAAGAGTTTAAGTAACTTGACTGACACTATAGAACTTGAAGTGGTAGAACCAGGATTCAAATCCATGTCTGGCAGCAACTCTTTTCCCTTCCTTCTTATAGCTGTGTATGTAACACTTCCAAATATTCTGTAAGGGTTTTGTTTTTGTTTTTGTTTTTTTGTTTTTGTTTTTGTTTTTGTTTTGGTGAAGTTTCATGTAAAAACAAAAATTTGACTCTTTTTTTTTTTTTTAAGATGGACTATCACTCTGTTGCCCAGGCTGGAGTTCAGTGGTGCAATGTTAGCTCACTGCAACCTCTGCCTCCTGGGCTCAAGTGATCCTCCCACCTCAGCCTCTTGAGTAGCTGGGACTACAGGTGATTTTTGTATTTTTAATAGAGACAGTGTTTCACTATGTTGGCTAGACTGGTCTCAAACTCCTGACCTTGGCCAAAGTGCTGGGTTTACAGGCATGAGCCACTGCACCCAGCCAAAAACTTGACTCTTTTAAAATTTATTTTTATTTTAAACTTTTTTAGAGACAGAGTCTCACTCTTGTCACCCAGGCTGGAATGCAGTGGCATCATCACTGTTCATCGCATCTTTGAGCTCCTGGGCTCAAGTGATCCTCTCACCTCAGCCTCCAGAGTAGCTGGGACTACAGATTTGTGCCATGACACCCAACTAACTTTTTTATCTTTAGCAGAGATGAGGTCTTACTATGTTGCCCAGGCTTGTCTCCAGCTTCTGGGCTCAAGCCATCCTCCCAACTCAGCCTCCCGAAGTGCTCAGATTATGGGCATGAGCCACACTACGCCTCGCTTTGATTTTTCTTTTTTAATCTCGTATATCCCCTCTTAATAATTTCCCTTTGTGTGGCAAAAAGAGACAGGGAAGGAGACAGAAAAAACTTCCCAGCTTAAGGAAATGTCTATTCTCGTCCCTCCAGGGAGCTTCCTGGAGCTTCTAGGCACTGTATGACCCCACAGGTCTTCTTCTAGTAATTGTGTTGGGTACTGGCTATTTATTTGAATTTGGATTGTTGTCTATTTATAAATTAGTGTTTGCTTCCATTCTTTGTAATTTACTTCTAGATTTCTAAATAAGAAAGATGACTGCTAAGGAGTGATCAGTTACTATCCATGATGGGGATTAAAGGTGAAGAAGAAAGCTGATGTTTTTTAACTTCCATTCTCTCCACAGGCACTTGTGCAGATAGAGTAAAGCCTGAAATATTCAAATTCCCCAGCCAGCCTTTTCATATTGAACTCCAGATGCTTCTTAAACATCTGTGGCATTTAAGACCTGGTTAAGGCTGCTAGGCCTGTGAGAACCATCCCCCCTGATGAGTGAACCTAGCCACGGTTGTTTGTACCCTGAATGATGATGGCAGTGACCTTAGCCCTACCTACTTTATTAGTGAAGGAAATGATGTGTCTCTGTTTGCTAGCTGTGGGGCTCAGAGCAGGTTTCTTGCCAAAGAAGTGCACATTCAGTGGAGAGATGGCATGGGAAAGGACTAATGAAGGGTCATGAACTTTATCTTGAATGTAACACTGTTTCATATTGCCAGCCAAAGCTGCAGTGCACTGTCTGAGGTGATTAACAGGGAGAGCCAGGAAAACTTACCTGATTAAAATACCCCAAG